GTATTCGGTTTTTGCCTTTCTTCCGCGTACATTTTGCAATATTTCCGAACATTCCCATTCTCCTATCCGCCAGTCCATTCATGACCCATTGTGTCTCTTTGCGGCGTCTGGAAAACAAAGAACCACATAAATATCTATTTTCACATTACACAAGTACATTGATGCAAAATTATTTTAAGGAATCCCAAGGAAAATAGTTCGACCAACAACAATCAGGGCACATCATATGGACAAATATTTTAACAGAGTTTCATATACCTCTTCTATTGCTAAAATACGTAAATATTTAAAGAGTAGCGTGAATAATAAGGAATTAGTTTAGGGATACCGTAATAACTTAAAAAATCGAAATACACAACATTAAACATACAGGTTTACCGATGCATCTTGCCTAAGAGTCTAAAAACGAATGCAATCTGTATTGTTTCCTGAGTCAGTAATTAATATCATTCAGCTAAGTGTTAATTATTCGTGATAAATACGACATTATTTAGATAATTCAATTGTAATTGCTAATGTTATACTTCCCACAACGACTTAATATTTGACTTTCGAAACTAATACTTACTTTAGAAACAACATTCATAGCATTCTTATTATTTTTCACGAAATCTAATTCATTAAAAAAAATAATTTTCAACTCAATGCTGTGGACGAAATTAAACGTGTACATCAACATTGCGTTCCCTTCAATATCACATATCTATTCCTTGTATCTCAAACATTCCTTGATCCTGATTTTCCACAACCCTACATCGGTTATTTCGAAGCTGTTCGACTGCTTACGATTCCATCACAACATACATAAATTTCAGGCCACTATCTGGAAGATTTTGCTTTCATTTCTATGTTTCCTGAACTGAAGTATCACCAATGCATTAATTTCACTCATTTATGCGTCATTTGGTGTGCTTTTTTTTCTATATTTTGCTAAAGTATCATTTAAGAGTAAGAACTTTCATTTAGAACGTCTTTTCTTGAGCTTCTACAAATTAGGAAAGTAAGCACCGTTCTTGCTCCTTCCCCCTGACATAAATTTCAGTTTTTTGCTGGAACACTTTTGACTATAACTGACAATTATTATAATACAAACCAGAATCTGAGTTCTAGAGATAAAGAATCTGCAAAATATTTTCACATTACATCGCTCTTCAATGCTTTCTATTATTCATAGGGATATTGTTAAAAACAGGAATCTTCGAGAGAGGTATTTTCATTCTGCAAAATTGTTTTTGCAACTACTATAGGATACAGAGGCTTTCAAAGAAGACTTTCTGTATTTTTTTCTAACGTCGTACTATTTCAACATAATTCCCGACCCGAAAAGGTAGAAGTGCTGACAAATCATTATTTGCTGTCGATAGAAAAGACGTTCATATTGTTTTTTGTCCTATGTGAAATGAAGACTATCTGTAATACATTTGTTCCGCTCGTTTGCAATGGGGTACTTCAGGAATCGCAACGCAGTTGTGGCCTGCTCCCACATTCCTTCCGTCCTATACGACGCTTATTGTCAACGCCAACCAACGCTTTCTCTCTTCTTAGAACTATCTCTTTGCAAAATCTCTCTCTGTTAACACGACAGTATTGGCAGAAGTAGAGCAATACGCATAAAGCTTTCTTCTAGTGTTTGAAGTTGTAATAGTAAAATCTGTATTCACTACACTTTTGCTCCTTTTTTTCTTATTTAGCTCTCAGTCTCCTGAGAGAGTAGAGCCATTTATAAGCGAGCGTATTATAAGCAGTGTGAAATGTTTCTTGTGTTCATGTGCATGGGATTTACTTATTGCTATTTGATTATTTAAATACCCAGGTTTGCCAACATTCCTAATTCCAGTTGTGTTCTCAAGCTACAATCACTGCCAAAGGAGCATTTGTCTTGTCATTATGAGGGGAGTTTGTTCATAACGGACTGTGGTTACATAAATAAGAAATAAAATTAATTGTTTACACAAATATCAGTATTTACATTAACATGATCCCATGTATCAGCAAAACGTATAGGTTTTTGACAAATTAACAAGTATTATTCCCTAGAAATCACGGAATGTTTCCACACTTTTATCAAAATATGCTTCTGAGCGAGGAAAAAATCTCCTGTCAGTTGTAACAGTTAACAACAAAAATTGTAATTCACCATGTTACAATAATAACAGCAAACAATCTCCTTTTTCAAACAGTATACAAGTTAATTTTCATCACAATGGTATGTCCCTTTAAATTGTTAATTTTAAATTAAATTTAAAATGTAATATACTTTCAGTTCTCTTCTCAGGTCAATAATAATATATTACTATTTCCTACACGAAAATCAAAATAAAAAATCGCTGGTAATATGAATAATTTTATCATTGTGAATTTATCGATGATGCAAATCTCATTGTTTCCTAAAAGACGAAATACCGACTTTTTTTCGAGACACTTCCTGATTATGTCATCGGTCAAATTAACGTGGGACTTCATTTTTCAGAAACATACAAAACCTGTTATTTGCGGACAAGATAATCTTAAAAGTATAAAACCATTGTTGAAGTAGAGAGATGTAGGTATTGAATCCCAAAACAAAATGCGGACGAGTACTTGTAGCAACTTTTAATAGGATGTGAGAAATAAAGTGTAATTATAAAATTAAAAAATAACTGTGAGATATTTTCAGATAAGAGCATTGAACAGTATATCCAATTATCTATAATATTTTTAAAGTCGCACTTTATTGAAACGTATTTTGAATTTAACTACATTTTGTTGGAAGTATCATTACCTGTTAAGCTCATTCTTAAATACGAACTCGTTTATTAATCCCAAAAATAGTTCAATATATTAGCATTGTGCTTCACTTATTTAAATCTCCTTCTGCATCAAACTTCTTTTACATCTCAAATATTCAGAAGACCGGATTAAAATATGAGTATTTCATCTTTTAAGTAACTGACTTTTGTATCGTCCTTACGTTCATAATGTACATGTTGCATCCCTTCAGTAATCCTTCGTCATGGATAGCATTATCACCTTCATGCCATCTTCAACCCGGGATTCCCAAGAATCTCAGAATTAATATTTCAAAAATGTGCCGGAGAGCTGACTTGACTGGTCGTAAGACGCCGAAACCCGAGCAGTATTGCCAACTTTTCGACTGACGTACGATACCTTTCAAGAAAACGCAGAATTCTGAGAACCGAATAATAAGAGAGTTTTCCAAGAAAAAGAAAATAAAGAAGGAAGATCTGTTGTTCTGCGGACACAAATCACAGAGTCTGAAGTGTATAACTATGACGTGTATAATTATTTTTTCGATTGTTTAATTTCAGTATTCAAGTATTTTGCAGTATTATTAATTTAAATATTTCGACGATTATTAAATTGATCGCTTCTCCTTAGTAGGTAATTCAATTTTCATTTCAATCAAATGTAGCGTTAGCTATGAAGTCTTTACACTTGTAGTCGAATTTGTAACTTCGGGCCAAAGCTCGCCCTGCAGCAAAGAATTCCACATAATCGTAACTCCAGCTATTTTGGAGACTCATATCCTTGCTCTCTGCGGTTAGTCATACGCTCGCCATCGCGTGTACTCAAAGCTATAATCATATGTAAACAGTACAACATTCCAGTATCAATTTGAACTTAATAACAAAACAAAATCCCTTATCAAATGACCGAGTCGTGTGGTACGGGTTGTCCGCAGGAATGACGTGTCAGGTTCAGGTTACCCTCTGCTGTCTCGGTGACGCCGCATCGAATCCTGGTTTACCAACGTTTTGACAACCTACCATGAACTTCTTCAGGCATACTTTCCGCATGCTAGCTCCGAAGAAGGGCGCGTTAGGATTGACGAGTCAGTCCTAAAAACCAACCCATAAAACTAGGCAGCGCGACAGGGCAGCCGAGAACATTCCGGCAATGGAAATCTACTTCTGGAACTTAAGACGGCCCAGATCGACCAGTGTTTCGTTTCGTGATGTCGCAGGCGTCTCAGAATAAATGTTACAAACTTCTACGGCATGTAGGCCAGAGGAAGATAATTACTTGTTGCCAATGTTATGATAGTGAAATTTATGTAACTTACAAATATGGCATGCCCCCGATTGGTAGGCAATATGTCAAGCACTGCTGTTCGGCAGGCCGCGTATTGACGCAATCAAAAATATTTTCTGTACCTGCCAAATACTAGTATTTAAAGAGAGCGCAAGTACCACTCATTTTGTCAACGTCTTCATGTTTGTCTCGAGCATAGGATAGGTAGGTCATTTAATGCATTATTTACGTTAATAGTAAATCAGGAAATGAAAATTAATTACTGAAAAGTCCTTGAAAGGTTTAGGATGTGTATCCCCACGCCCCGCCGCCAGCGACGTCCGTCTTTCCATAAATTCACCTACGTCGGTTCGGTCCGTAAGTAAGAGGCGTCGTCGATGGGAGATTGGCAAGCAAGTCGGTGGGAAAGTTGAACAGATGGGAACACAGCATTATTAGGAAGGTTGGGGAGATTGAGACTTAGCGACAATGGAGGAAGGAGGAAGTCAGTAGGACGATTGTGGAGGTTGAGTCATAATGTTGGTGGGAAGGTTGCACAGGTTGAGACGTAGGTTGACAAGCAATTCGTTCGGAAGACTGAGCAAGTGGAGATGCACCGTGCGCCAGTGAGGAGGTTGGCAAGCAGGTCACTGGAAGGGTAGGAGAGGTAGAGTTGCAACGGAAGTGGAAAACTTGGGAAAGTTGAGTCGTAACCTCGTTGGAGACGTCGATAAGTATCATCGTCGGTAGACAGGTAGACAAGCAAGTCGTCGGGAAGACTGAGGAAGTCGACGCGCTGCGTGCGTCGGTGGTAAAGTTGGCAAGCGTGCTCAGGGCGGCGCCTGGCGCCCTTCGAGCGTTCCGCCCCCGGCCCGGCCGCCGCCGCCATCGCGTCCCCGCGTCGCCACGCCCTCTGACCCGCGCGTCTTCCCCCAGAGTTCATGTCCTCCTCCTCCATATCGAGTAGCCGTGTGTCGGAGGAAGTGGTAATGCAGGCGAGTAGCACGATGTCGTCGTCGAGCGTCAAGACCAGCAGCTACCAGCAGGTGACGTCGTCGTCCTCGTACGAGGAATCGTCGTCCTTGTCGACGGTGGCGGCGGGCAGCGGTGCGCTGGTGCAGGAGAACGCGGTGGTGCGCATGGCGCTCGTCGCTGCACCAGCCACCGAAGGCCGCCCGGCCTTTGCGCAGACCATCTCCGGCCTCAGCCTCGAACGTGAGTACACACGCCCCACCTCTACTACCATTCATTACCTGCTCGTCTCCTCGCATACGGAGGGATGTTGTCGTGCCTTTGAGTTTTTTTCATTTGTTGCATCTTCGTTGACGCAACGCAATTCTGGTTAAGCACTGGTATGGAGAAATCCCCCATATTATTTTTGTCAAGTCTCGTCAAATCGCAGTCAGTCAGATAATTTTATCCCTTTGGTCAGGTGCTCGGCGCTTTTAAAACCCGGGGTTCCTAGACGGTCACCCAACCAGAAATCCGAGAGGTCTCGACTTCGATTATCCTCCGTGACTTCACGGTACACGAATTCGGCTAGCGACGCCAGCGTTCGTGCAACGTGTATCGGTTTGTGTTTTTTTACAATTTCAATGTAAAACACGAAGTACGAAATAGTACCTTAATTTTCTCGTCAAATGTCAGGATATCACTTTTCTGCTTTTCTTATTTCTGCATTGATGTGTAGGATTTCGTCAAGTATTAAACAGGATGAGTCTCAAAAGTATATTAGTGTGATCGATGAGTATCTTTTATGACGTTTTCGTTTATTATTGCTTATCGTAACATTGATTCAGAAACTCTAGTACCTCCATCGAAGTACATTAGAGGTTCACTGATCTATATTTAAACTCAGTTTTTGAAAAATGTTTTCTTTTATCCCATTTCTCAATTTCTGAAATATGTAAGTACCATATCTTTCTTTTATTGAAATAGATAAAAATAATGTTTTTAGTTAGTGTCGCAACATCCCTCCCTATAAGTCCTACTCCAATATTTAATTCGAACTCTTACAATCAAAAGTGGTATCACTCTGGTAACGACTGTGACAAAAGGATACTCCTTGCCAAAAATTTAATTAAGAGTTTGTTAAACATTCAGTCTCTTAGCATTAATTAAAACTACATACTAAAGTCTGTATTGGATTATTGCCATTGACAAGCTACGAGATGTGTTTTAAGCTTTCATTATTCGATGTTTCAAATCTATTACAAGAATAATTTCGGAGTCGAGTTAGGTTTCAGAGAAAGTTCCTGCAACTCGTTGCCAGAGTGATCTCTTAAGACCTTTGCTCTTGATAAATTAAGCTCTAACAAAGAAGGATTGCGAAGTAAGAGTCATGCGTGCAAAGTAAGAGACGCATGTTCACTTGTTTGGTTTTTCTCATGGCCCAAATACAATAGGGAACTTATTGAGCGAAGTACTTGCATAAACACTTAAAACATTAGTTATGTCACCAAAAGAGTATATCAGGTATTTAAATTTGGCGAATTTCATAACGCACATTGTTATGTTGTTTTGACGTAATTTCAACGTTGCAAAGGGCATTCGACTTATTAATATGAGTTTATTTATCAATTCTTCAGAATATTTTTTCATGAAAATAGTATGTACGGACCTGCGTGGAAAATTATTGGTGAATTGCTATGTCGTTAACAATAAGCCAATGTTTAACCTCTTCGTGGTCTTAATTTTAAACTTTATATTTTAAGTTCACTTGATAACTGTTGTTGAATTTATTTTGAATTTATTTGCTATTTTAATGAATATCATGATAGAAAATTTAAGCTTTTTGAGAATTATGCAAAGTAAACATGACAAGTTTATTTTCCAGGAATTCATTTCTAATAAATGGCTTTAAGTGAGGTTTGATTTATTATTTTAAAAGCAAGCTAATTTTACACGAGAGCACTTTCATGTTGTTTCAATATGTTTCAAAAATTCAATAGAGAAATCGGGTTTTGTATTTACATTTTCTGTTAGGTCTACAGTATAAACATTATATTATTTTTATGTTAGTATAGAAAAAATGCCATGTTTCTAAATAGAGCATTTATCCATCTAAAATGCTAACGTAGTTTCAAGTAAATATTATTGAAAAATAATGTTAGAATTGTGAAATGAATATGTGATCTATATATTTTCGAAAGATAATTTGACATTACTCTTGCTCATAAAGTTAAAGTTTTGCCAGCTGTTTCCTAATACACGGTGTCTAACTACAAAAAAAATGTACTTTCTCGAATTGAAAATGTTAATATTGTTTGTTTTTTCGCTGACTTTCAATATCATGTTTTAATGACATGCTAACTTAAAAGTTTGTAAATAATTCTGCAATAATATCTATCACACTCTGAAGTTGTACATTAAGACTGTTTTAAAAACTATAGATTTCTAAATCATAAATTCCACAACATCAGCAGCATTTATTCCCGTTCTTATCGTTGATTTGAATCAAAATCAGTCATTACTGTGTTTCCCTTGTTATTATTTTAATATGCTGTCATTTAGAAAATATGTAATTAAAACGTACGTAATCCCCCTCATTCACGAAAGTTTAACCGGAATGTAGGATTATTGAGACAAAAAGGCAGCGCCCTCTAGCGAAATTTAATTCATTCTTTGTGTAGGTATATGTTTATAAAGCTAAATGGTATATGTTTATTTATGATAAGTATGTTGTATAAAATGTAAGTACACGATAATTAATAAACATTGTTTAATATTATAATTTTAATTACAATTTTCAGCAAATATCTGCACCGTAAGTCCATTTCTCTTTATTTTCGTCGCTCGTGATTCTATTCCCGTTTTAAAGACGCCAGTTTCACACTGTACCATAAAAACGGATGCAACATCTGTAAGCGAGCAATACTCATGGTCGATAATTAACAGTCACACCTCGAATTTTATTGCGACATTACATCAACTAGTTAAATTTATGTTTTAAACACTTTTGATCAACTATAAACTAAAAAGAATGTGCAATAAAACGTAATAAATATTAGCTTGTTCACATATTTATTCCATCAAAATTATTTATAAAAATCAGAATGGACAAAATTGCTCTTTTTGGACCTCCTATATTACCTCGAAAAATGAAGATATTATTAGTGGGAACAATTAAGCTCAAATTAACATGTCCTAGTCCAAATGACGTAAAATAACTTAAGTTGTTTAAATTAATTTTTTTGTAATTGGTTACCTTCAACGTAATTGAGAAGAATATTCTTCCGCTACCGGAGTCAATATCTACTTGGCTGTCCGGGTGATGTGTCCTAGGCATAGGTGCCAAAGTCTAGCCACAGGTGAGTCCTGTGGGTACTGTGGCCTTCCTCAGGGCGAAATACGTCGTCGGTGCCACTCAGGAAGAAATGTATTATATTCGTGTACTTTTTTTCATTTTCATACATTTCATGACCGAATCCAAGTAGAGGAAGATGAAGTCGGTATATCAACCGGGGCACATGAATCTCATGGAGACAATATCAAAGGAGCCATTAACTCTATTCTTATAAAATATATTTGAATATATTTTCTCCAGTAACTGAAATTCGACTTGGAAAAGAACTTTAGACTTTTAACTATTCGAGAGTAAGAATTATTTTAAGAAATTAAAAATAAACGTGTAAAACTACTTAGAAACGTTTATTTAAATTACTTCTAAAAAGTATGTCTAGAATGTAAACTGATACAATAGTGGCTATTTAAAATTCCCCTCCACAACGCGGTATGTTTCCCCCAAATCAGTGATTTCCCTGCAAGGAAATACACAACTAAATACTCTTCCATATCTGGGAGAACTGAACAAGGCCCCTCTCCCAAATTATCGATCTTGAGATTCTGCTCACTTCCAAGTAGTTGCATCCGCTCCATTCCTATACACATCCACACAGAGGTAAGCCCGCTTATCTCGAGTTTCATTGCTTAGCATGCCATCTATTGGCCTTGGTAGCGTAGGTAAGAACTCTGGTAGAGCTGTTCCGATGTAGTATCACTCAAAAGTACTTCCAGTTCAAATGCCTATTTGTCGATCTATTCTTTTTTCTTTCAAGCTACTTATTTTCTTGCTGCGGCTCTGAACAAGTACCATTAATTTAGGTGGCTTAGCCGGAGCTGTGCTCTATTAGTCTGTTGAACGTGAGCGTTAGTGCATGGTAATTTGCTTTACTATATTTGATCGCGTAGGCTTCAAAAGAACGTTTAAAAGCGATGTCAGTTTTTGCGAGAATGTTTTTATTGTGTAAAATGGTTGTTCTCTTGAGGGCGTGCTCCTAGCATGACTGGTTTAGCTGTGCTTTCGATGTCTCAAATCTTTACTTCGCTCTTAGTAACAACTTTCGTTTCAGATTTTTGCTTGGAAAATAAAAATGTGCTATAACAAAATTTCTTAAATTTCACTCTAAATAATTCTTCTGTGACTTCTTTAAATTTTGTATTTAACTTGTACAATTAATACATTAGAATATGGGAATCATTAAGATTTACTTGCATATTTACAAGTATAATTGATGAATAATTCTAAACATGAATCTTACGGAAAATAGTTAATTATGAACCATAAAAATGAATTAGATCATTAAAATCATTACTTTTATGCACACTTGTAAACTTTACAAAATTGAGAAATTTACCCCTCACATTTTAAATAAAATTTTGTAACAGACTTTGATATAATTCTATTAATTTTATTAATTTTATATTTCAATCATGAACTTTTTCATATTAATTTCGAAACTTGAGAAATGTTTTGAAGGAAAATATTATTAAATTACCATTACCTACTTGAGAGAATGTGAATATTAAAATACTCTGGTAAAGGTAATACGCATTGGGTTCATTACAAAATTCAGTCATTATATTTTTGTAAAATTTATACTTTTATAATATTTATATAAAATCTTGTCATTTATTATTTAATCAATAAATGTGTTAATACAAATATTTACTGTACATTGTGAAAAGTATCGATAAATTTAAAAGCCACGTCCCTAAATGCGCCCGACGAACGAAGAAAAACATACTGGTAGGTATTTTACGCACAAATTTTAAAGGACCATTAAATATAATTTAGAAACATTTCTCGTGGTTTATGCCCGCAAGACAGTATTAAAAAACAAGTAAGTTCGAGTAACGTTTAAAATATGGATTAAAAATAGTATGCACATTGTCATGTCTTTACTACATGTAGACGGTACAAAATAAAAAACAAAATTCACAATTTTCTTCGCAAAAAAGATAAATATTTGTAACAAAAAGTAAAACTTTCATAGTTAAACAGAATTACGTTTCAGTAGATTGCCGTTGACAATTCATATACAGGAGTTTCTAGCCGACGGTGTTGTATTTTCGGCCTCTGAAGTACTGCTCCTATGTGGAAGTTATACCATGACTGCAATATCGCTACATGAAATAATTTCGATGCGTAAAAAATTAGCATCATGCTTGAGGAGGCAACTTCTATAAGCAAGCACGAATACAGTTTCTGAAGAACTACTACATGTTTGAAAAACCGCAGGACTGCACATGCCCGGAAAGTAACAAAGGAGAAGTCACCTCCTTGTTATGCATCTCCCTTTTTTTAGGAGTCTTGACATCGCCGTAACTATCCACAGGAAAAGGGTGGCCTCTCCTGGTCCGAACAAACGATCCTCTCGCATGTTTAAGGCTTCACCACATCAGCCTAGTCCCTTCTCGCTGCTGTCAATCTTACGCGATTCAGAAAGAGAATCAGCTTTTACAGACGCATTCCTTGAAAAGCTCTACTCCCCCAACCGAACACGAGTGAGGAAGCTTTGCAACGCCTCCTGAGGTTCGCTCCGCCCTCGGTTTGTTTTTCAACGACGTTGAGTGATAAGAAGCAATGTACTCGTAGGCTCTCTAGGCCAGTGTCAATATGGATATTTCTTTCCGAACTGATAGGTCGAATTCGAAATAGTTTTACCAAACTTTTTTTAAATGTGCGGCAGGCATCCCTTGTCTCAGTACGGTGCCGGGCGAAGATCGCTTTGGGTTGGCTCCTTGGCTGATCCCGCACTGTCTTTCAGGAACCGATCACTAGGATGCTATCTCCCTGATAATCAGCTAAGAGCCGAGAATCGAATCGAGAATCAAATCAAGAATCGAATTGGGAATCGAATCGAGATTCGAATCGAGAATCGAATCGAGAATCTAATCGGGAATCGAATGGGTAATCTAATCGGGCATCGAATCGAGAATTAATCGAGTCGACAATCCAATCGGGAATCGAATCGAGAATCTAATCTGGAATCGCATTGAGAATATCATCGAGAATCGAATCGAGAATCGAATGGGTAATCTAATCGGGCATCGAATCGAGAATAGAAACGAGAGTTAATCGAGAATAGAATTGAGAATTAATCAAGAATCGAGTCGAGAATCGAATCGAGAATCGAATCGAGAATCGAATCGAGAATCGAGTCGAGAATCGAGTCGAGAATCGAATCGAGAATCGAATCGAGAATCGAATCGAGAATCGAATCAAGAATCGAATCGAGAATCGAATCGACCGACGGGCGCTTTAGGGACGTGAGCGACGGCGCGCGCGTGGCGGTGCGGGGCTGCCCGGAGCGGGCGTGGGGCGTGCTGACGGCGCGCCCTCGTGTCCGCAGCCGGCCAGAACGCGGTGTTCGAGTGCAAGGTGCGCTCGGAGTCCGCGGCGAGCGTGACGTGGCTGCGCGACAACCGCCCCCTCGACGACAAGCTGGCGGACCGCGTCATCCAGACGTCCCGCGACGACAACACCACCTTCCGCCTGGAGCTGCAGCACACGCGCGAGTCCGACTCGGGGCTGTACACGGCGCGCGCCACCAACACGCAGGGCTCGTCCACGTGCTCGGCGCAGCTGGTGGTGCAGGAGCTGACGGACGAGGAGCGGCGGCGGCGCGCCGAGGCCAACGCGCCGGTCTTCCTCGTCATGCTCAAGGACACCGAGCTGCTGGAGAACACGTTCCTGCGCTTCATGGTGAAGGTGCGCGGCACGCCCGCACCCGTCGTCAAGTTCTTCAAGGACGGGCGGCGCGTCGAGGACTCGGAACGCATGCGCGTCATCAGCGAGCGCGCCGACGTCGGCTTCTACGAGCTGGTCATCGCCGACGTGCGCAAGGAGGACGCGGGCAAATACTCGTGCCAGGCTATGAACAAGTACGGCGACGTCACCTCGGAAGCGGTCGTCACCGTCACCGGTATGTGCGGGGCCGGGAGGCGCGGGGCGGGGCGCGGAGAGAGGCCCGCTGCGGGGCCCAGCGGCAACACCATCGCCGGCGGGTGGAAGTTGCACAGGGCAGAGGCTAAAACCGCGCCCCATTCGCGGGAAAGCCGGGTTCACGCGTCTGCGAAGCGCCGGTCGTGACACTGCGCAATGGATAGCGACAGATTTATGACCGGCGCGTGGCAGACACGAGTCTGACTTGCCTGTGAATGGGCAGCTTTAATCGTATAATAGGGCATTCTGTAGTGATTTATTCGCGAGGAGAAATTGTTCAGTCACGAGTGCACCAGAGCGGATCTATGATCTTCTGGGTATATTAGTACTAAATCTCTCAATATGAAATGATCATCAGTTGATTTTTTTAGTGATTACGCGTCTTACTGCGTGCTCATGTGTGAGTTGAGCTAGACGCTCACTCCTCAAAGGATTTTGCAACTCTGAGCATTATCAGCTAAACCTAAAGCTAGGCACTCACCGGCAAGCCTCGCTCGAAAAGCTGTCTCGCGCCGATTGCAAATCCGCTGCTACCTGATTGGTTGTTCGCAGAACCTGGAACAGTGTAGCGTCAGATTTACAACCGGTGCAAGTCCGGTTTGGGAGAAGAGCTTGAAAGTTTATAGATTGCTTATCACAAGAACTGAAGACGCCCGACTACTCATATCAAAAGACATTTAATGCAATTTGTATAAAATTATGCGAACTAGTGGACCCTCGGCAAGTGTAGCTAGATTTTTTGTATCAATCTTTGGCATAAACCTCGGAAGTAAGATTTTCTCTAAATAAATAACCTAATTCTAACCGCTGTCCTGAACGCATCCACTATTAGGAATAAGATCCTACTGATGTACTGTACATCAAGATATTTTAACGGGCGGCCTCGCTCTGCCAAACTCGAGACTTTACTTTTATCCCTCATGAATAAATCTCTATTTAATTCCTTGTTATACATAATATTTTATTTATTTCACGCATTTCCTTAAAAATGCTTTTTATAAGTGAAATATCGCTTTTGATTGGAGATGAACATATTGTTCTTTTCCATTCCTTAATGAACCCATATCATGCATAAACATTTTGTAGAAACAGTTTAACTTTTGAAGGGTTTAAGTAATTTTCACCCCAAAGCGCAAATCTGATCTTTGAATAACGAAAAATCGTAACATCAAATGTGCGAAATAAATAAGAAAATAGTCACATACATAACAATATGAAATAGAAGATAAAGGTACAATTTGTTTGAAATGTGCTACATGTATCTTGTTAAAAGTACAGTTTTGCTCACAAACAAATTACGTATCAATGAAAACTCTGTCTTAGGAATACACTATAAAACATAAATTAACTGTCATAAATTTAAATTTACTGTCATTCGACTCCAAATGTTTTCTTTCGGTTACAATCTTTTTTGAAGCAAAAAATGTAAGAAATAAATGTTTCTGGAGCAACCTCCTTGTTAGAAATGTAATTATTTTCAAGCTGTAAAAGTAAGTTATTTCATTCACAATTGTCATCATCAACGTGAACTTTGGTCGTCCATAACGCATGTCTGTGGTAAGAAGCTGATACAAAATTTAGGAAAAAAGTTTTGTTCGCCCATTAGTTTTTCTTGGTATGACTTAATGTATCTTCTGTTCATATTGTTATACCTAAATGAAATGTTTTACATAAAATATCTACAGATGAACCTCTGCACTTTGCAATTTCCCCCATATGTATTATAGTACTGATGTATTATAGTACTGGCTTCAACAAGAGCGAACTGCTTATCGTAAAACCAATCTTAATGTCAGTTGATGGCTACCGACTCATGGTTCTCGATATTTCCCATCTTTCCTTTGAAGTCAAGTCTTCCACATTCCTGTGTAAACATTATTTCAAGTTCTTCAAAACAGCATTGACTTCCTTATACAATATCCAAAAATTACTTATACCTCATCCCACATACAACCCTTTCATAGAATAGCAATGAAGAAACAACGTAGTTGAACATCACATAACCTTTACACTAAATTTCGAATTATTTCTCGTTTTAATACCTAAGTTCATTTTAAACATTGTTTAAAAAAGTGACTCAAGTTAATATTTTACACGTCATTTCCAATAATCCCTGAAATTTGGTTCGACTACTTTGTAACTTCCTCCGAAATAGATATAAATTAAGTATAAGTTAATTACACCATACTCCTCGATCAAACACTCCCTTTCCTAATACAAATATTATTTCACATCACTTAATTCCAACTTACGGTGTCTCGTTTCAATTCAGTGCTACACATTTTGCATGATTTTCAATGTGCTAAAAAAACAGCATAATATTAAGACATATTCAAAAGCTCCCAACATTTTATTCGGAATCGAAACCAGTTAAAATCATTATCTTCCCTAAAACTGCAATATTTTAGATATCTGCACTGACGCCAACTTACATTTCACCAAGCTTAGACAAAGTGTACCAAAAGCCAAAATATTTTTTCATTATTTTTAATTTTTCGTCGATGGATTTTTGATATTTTTTACATTTTTTTTATTTTTACAACAATTTTTTTTATTTTTCAGAATTGGCTTTAATTCTGCGTTGTTTCGGGGTGACAAAGCTGACACCATATGTTCAGGCTCAAGCAATTTTAAATTATTTACGACGTAGGCTACTTCAAAAACGAGATTCAATTGAGATAGTATTTTTGATACATAATGTTACTCGTAATTAAACATTGTAATTATTTATCCTGATATATTACAATAAAACTCTTCACATTGTATGTTTTAACGAGCAATGAGTAACATTTCCTAGAAAACAAAGTAGAGCTGATTTTGTTTTTATTTTCAATTGATTCTCATATCTCTAGTAAATATTATCAATCCTACAGTTAACACACATAGATACATTCGCAGGAAAATTTACATGTGGTGGGTTCCGGAACCATTTTCACTGATACGGTCATTGAAAGAATGCCTCATAATGACTAGCATCGCCTCGCCACGCGTAGACGCTGTGCTAGGATAGAGGACAACGTTCACCGGCCTCCATGAGGACTGAGGTCGCAGTGCTGATTCGAAGCGAGATCGATTCAAAGTTCTCGTTTTCTTATCATCACATTTTTTCGCTTTCTGACCCCGCTCCTTCTTCAAATTGTTTTAGCGATGTTCAAGGATTCGCCTTAAGGACTGGCGAACGTATCTCTTCGTTTTCCCTCCATTTTTGCTATTTGGCGACAAATCGACTTTGCCTTCAGAACAGATTTATTAATCTTCGTTTCAGCCAAAACCTATATAGTATTTTGTCACGGAAAATAATGTTTAAAGATTTTCCAGTCCAAAAAAGTTCTTGAAAATTAAGCAGCAATATCAGTACATTGCGAAAGTATAGTTTCAATATTTTTGACATAATGTCATGCCGGAATTATAGATTTTAAAAACGTGTTAGGAATGTTCACATTTTCAAAATGATAAAAAGTGCTAAACTTTGCAAAAAACTACCAGTTTTATTTATAAATTTTAAATTTTACACTTTAATTTCCATAACGTAAATTGACGCTATCAATTATAAAATTATAAAGTTTGCCTGATACACTTTTAAGTGCATGCTTTTTCTTTATGATTCTTAAAATTGAGCCTGCAATAAGTATCGTAAAAATAATAAATTACATATTAGAAAAGGAAATTAATCACTCTGAAAGAAAAATGTTAGAAAAGTTTATTGCGCTGTAACTGGAAATGGATTTATAAAATTAACACTGCGTTCCCTCTTCAGCATTGGATATAAATAAATTAGCAATTATTGAATAACATCTTCAGAATGGAGGATAATTTTTTTGTTAACTCCTTCACTTCCTCACGAGAGGAATTAACATTTCAACTACCAAAAATTGAGTTCCCAAATTGAATTGACCTAATATATGGTTTGTGAGTTGTGATGTGAAACAAAAACTCCTTCGTTTTCTCTCTCCCTCTCTGTCTCTCTTCTATCTCTTCATTCTCTGACTATTCTCTTAACTCTCCATCTACTGAGGTTTTGGATTCCTTATCCTGTTTTTCCGTGTCCCGCATGACCGCATGCCCCTTTCCTACTGAAGAACTAAACACGGCGCCCCGGCCATCGTCAATTCCTGACGGAAATTTAAGAAATGACTCTTTCCGACAGAAAGAAGAGTATTATTAATCAATTATCAATTAATTATTCATTATTAATGAATTAATTATTAATTAATTATTAATAATTAATTTAAAGTGCAGTGTCGCCATTAAAGCACATAATCGGTCAGGTGTCACGTCTTCTGACATTTTTACGCGTTCACTTCAGTTTCAGTTTCAATGTCGACGTTTTTGAAATAGTAAGTGTTTTATGTGAGATTTAGTTTCAAATTCAGAATAGTGCTTTCTAATAATTTTGAAAAATGTGTATAATTAATTAGATCACAATCTTTTGAGATATACAATAAAGTCACACAATAATGTCCACCATGTATTCCAACCATGTCAAATGGTTACACAAAGATGGACTCAATGATGATCACTTACCACCGAATCTCGCGAACAAGCTCTAAGGATTACGCCACAATCCAAGACTGGTACTCAAAGTTAAATTACTCATGATCTGCAACAAATCAGCTGGCGCTACGTCAAGTGAGCATGTGAGCTATGTGAGCAATTAAAATAATAGTTCCCTAATACGCCCCCAGGGAAATGTTGGGATACAATCAAGACCTTTTCCGCTTGCATATCTATGACACATAGAGGTTGCCGTATTTCGATTTCTTCATCGTAAAAACCGTAATTCGATATCTTCATCAGTACAAAAAATATTGGAGGGGTTAGTAGTTATTAAATTGCTTCTTTATGAGGGCATATCTAATAGGTACGACCTGTTCCGGATAAACCGACATCTGATATCTGAAATGTTTGTGTTTCCCTACACTATCCGCGCAGCCACATCCCAAATATCTGCAGTAAGTTTATGCCATTTCCTTGCAATCATCTGGATCAGATTGTCTCGATAAGAACTCCAGAGATTTGCAGCGTTCATCGATCTTTTCCGTGGTTGCGTCCGATCATTCCAGACAGATGCCGGAGCAGTACCTTAAACAACGGGCCACCTCGGGTGCCGAACTTTCATCCCCACGTAGTCATTCCCCATGATCTCGAAAGATCTGGCCTTACTTCGGGCACAAGAATGCCAGATCATGGCTCGAACGAGGCTGGAGCGCTATTGGATAGAGGGCGGTATTCATTTCATTATTTACGAACATCCTCCCCCGACAGAAACTATATTTTTTAAGGATTTTTTAAGGATTATTTAAAGATATTTAAAGGCTTCGTAAAACTTTCTTAAACGATGTTTTCAAAGGTTAATCAATTACTGCTCTGATGCAATTAGAAAGACTTTCGTATATCCACTGAACCTGCAATTCGACTGAAGCTGAAATTGAAGAAACGATGTAAAAGATGTCGTGGGGAAGGAAGTGGGTCTGGAGAGGCAGCGGTGGCGTTGGCGACGGCAGTAGCGGTGGCGGTGGCGGCGGCGGCGGCGGCGGCGGCGGCGACGACGGAGGCGGAGGCGGAGGAGGTGGCGAGTTCGGGGGAGGCGATTGCTGCAATGCCCCTCCTTCGCCATCACAGGAAGACATGGCATGTGAGAGGTTATGTGCTCCAGGCGCTGGTGTTGATTTTTGACGGGAGTCACATGTCGCTTTTGAGAAATCTTAAATGTATACCTCGTACCAAACTTCGTTGCGCTGGAGATCCGGAGTCACGAGATGACTATCCCAGCAAGCACCTGCAGCATTATCGAATGATCTGAACTACCCTGGTTGCTCTCTTTTGTGAATAAATTAGAGGGATACTGAGGAGTTGTGTGATCAGAAGGAGGCGATGGAGCGATTTTTATACATTAATGCGGAGAGAGTTTTTTCTCGTGTGTTGGTAAAGCTTTGTTTAGTCATTGTTTTATTGGTTTTCATAAATAAAATGTCCGTTTTTGTTAAATTATTTTATCATGTGATAATTTGTATGAGTGTCTGAAGTAACAAATCAACACGCCAAAAATACGCCAAAAAATTGAAGAAGTTGATTGAATATGTGAGCAATGTTTTCGATATGTAGTTAAAATTCAAACAAACTCAATACAAGTCAGGAATTTTATTATAGAATTTCTTAATTTGCACCGCGTTGGTCTTTCAGCGTTACCGAGTCAAGTTGGCTGCCATACTCGCCATCACATATTGACACAACAACGGTCTCAATCGGATTTACCTTCGACTTGTGTTGTTTCCAAAATGATCAAATACGCATACCATAAGGTAAATTGTCACAATATTTAATTTTGGCCAGAGTTCTTGTACGTGTCTTAACCTAAGATTATCCATTCTTCGAAACTTCAACCGCCTCAACCCACGCACTCTGATTTTGGAAACAAGTGAGAACTTCGTAGGAACTACGATTGGGGCTGGCAGTAAAAAGAAGTTTGGTACTCGGTTTGCATCCGGTGTGTAGAGGTAGC